TGTTACAAGTCTAAAATTTATAATAAAAAACACATACGGGGAACCGCCCGCTTCTTCAAAAAAAAAAAAAAAAAAAATATGCTGATTCTTGATATATTATCAGATTTTGGTAAATTAAGCTTACACAAAATAAATAACTATTTTGTACCAATTGTTAACAAATTAATACAATTATAGTTAAAAATAATATTAGAATTAATTGTCAAAAATAAAAAAGGAAGAATAATTCAAACAGCTTTAATTTTATATGATATTTTTGCAGTGCGCAAAGTATGTAGACACATTTCAGTACTAATATCTTGTTATTATTGTAAAAAAAAAACTAATCATATGAATAATTAACATAAATTTAGTGGCATAAAAATACAAATGAATAGTTTTTTGGAGGGTATTTATCAATAGATAAACATTATTTTTTTATTTGATTTGTATATATCAAGATATATATTGTAAAAGAAATAACATCTTTTACTTATAAAATATAGAAAGTTAAATACTAGCTTACATATTTTACAATATCTAACTAATATTGAAAAAAATTTCAAAGCAATATTAAAGTATTAGATAAAGAAGTAGTAGCTATACCTACCTATTCAACAAATTTTGTAAAATTTTTTGAGTTTTGTGAATAAAATATAAAAAAGAAAACAGTAAATAAAAATATGTACAATAATGAAATAACTAGAGCTGAAACTAAATCAAGTAAACAATAAGATTTTTAATAGTAAAGGTTATGTTTCCAGAGTAACTTCTTGCCCAGCTGTAAAAACTGAAGTCTATTAAGTTTCCAATTGTTGATATGTGCTTTGGTAACAAAAAAATTATAGTGTAGTATTTTTATAAATTTATACTTTTAATTGTCAAAAAATATATATAAATATATAAATATATAAATATAAATTAATGTATATCTATATACATATTATTAATGTGAACTCACTTACTTAATACAAGTTGGCACTAATAGAAAGTTGTAATAAGTTAGTATTAACTTATATTTTATATAAAAATCTTTAATATAATAACTATAAACTCTTGTTTAATAAAAGTTTCATATCTAATACCTATTTGTAATTTAAAAATATATATATATTTTTTATTTATATATTTTTAGATACTAATTTATTGTATTTATTTTTAATAGTTGTTTGGATATAATTAAGTTGCAAAATTATTTTTATAATATGAAATACAGTATTTTTATAAAAATTAATTCAAACAAAAGATTTATTAACTTATTTTAATATATTTTTAATTTTCTTTAATTTAGTTTTAATAAAATTTTATTTAATTTAATTATTTAATCTATTTTTTTAAAGAACAAAAGGCTTTTAAGGAAATATAAAAAATAAATATTATTTATTTTTCTCTAAATATCAATTAATGTTAATAAGATATAAAAATAGATATAACTAAAATTTGTTTTGACATTTGTTTATTGTTAAATTGTTTTTAATATTTTAAAGAATTAGTTTTTCAAAATAGTTATTGACAATTGGTTTTTTTTTACTAACTTCTTGACTAATATTAACCATTTTATATATTCGATGCAAGTTTTTAATCATTTGTAAATATGATTAATTTTTGCAATAGAGAAGTTTACTTTTCATAACATTCCTATAGAACGATATTTATCTTTCATAAGATCTTTTACATCCCATTTTTACATAGACCATAATCGAAAAAAAAATTATGATTAATAATTAAATAAAACAAAAACCCGTTTTTATTAATGCGCAGCATTGACTAATGTTCGATTTTAATAGCATTTTGTGGCACCCTCTGTACTACATATAGTATTACACAGATGTCTATAAATCTATAGGAACATATTTACATACAGCACTGTACGTATTTTTAATACATCGTTTAAAAATGAGTCTAAAATTTTTTGATAAGTTGTCCAAAGACTTTACCGACCTACTTAATGATAAAGAAGGTTACGATGTTACTATTGAAGTGGGCAAAGTGGGTGACAAGAAATCGGTTACTTCACATTCGGCGATTTTACGATTTCGATCATCCTACTTCCGTGATGAGCTGTCTAAAGTCATTATAGATAAGAGTCCCATGACTATTCTAAAACTTAATATTTCTGCTGAATTTATTGAAGTGATTCTTAGGTACGCAAATCTTTTTTATTTATTTAAAATATAGTTAATTAATAGTACTTTTTTCTGTAGATATGTGTACGGAGGAATTGTTAATTTAGAAAACAAGGATAGTAAATTTATATTTGGTTTAATGATTACTGCCGATGAACTTAAATTAAAAGAATTATCTCAACAATTAGAAATTTATCTTATTAAAAACAAAGCTTCTTGGTTACGTACACATTTCTCATTTGTCTATCATTCCATCTTTAAAAACCAGAGTTTTGAAATTTTAGAAAAATTCTGTAACGATGTTATTGCAAAATATCCAAGCCTTATATTCGATACCGAGGACTTTATTTCTCTTGACGAAAAGGCTTTAATTTCTCTTCTTAAGAGAGAAGATCTACAAATGGATGAAGTAACGATTTGGAAAAAGGTTATCCAATGGGGGATTGCTAAACATAGCTCTTTATCACCTCGACCAGAAGAATGGTCAAAAGAAGACTTCCAAACCTTAAAATTTACTTTGCAAAATTGTTTACCGTACATTCGCTATTCTCAGTTTTCTCAAGCTGATTTATGGAAGCATATCGAGCCATATAGAAAAGTTCTTGATAAACAACTCTGGAAAGATCTCAATAAACGTTCACTATTTCCTGATGAGCCTGTCACCTCTGTTATTTTACCTGCAAGGTTAACAATCGTTCCGGATCTACCAGAAAGAACAACAAAACCCTTTTCAGCGATAATTAACGACGATCATGCTGCAGAGATTTCGTCATGGGTTGATCGAAGAGCCACTAGTTATTTGCCAAGGGATGTTCCTTATGAGTTCCAATTGATATTAAGAGGAAGTTGTGATGGATTTAAACCTCAAACTTTTTGGGATACGGCTCATAACTGCATAAACACGGTTACGATTTTAAAAGTGTCAGGAACGGATGAAATTCTTGGTGGATACAATCCCTCAGTGTGGAATAAAAATACTAGTGGCTGGATGACTACAAATGATAGTTTTATTTTTTCATTGAAAAACGGAAAAATTCAAAATTCGATTCTTAGTCGAGTAAAGGATGCAACACTTGCTTTTTACAATTATCTTCCTTCTCAACAAAACGAGGCTGGTATAAATTTTGGAAATGCTCTATATATGTATTCAAAAAATTCTGATTTTACTCAGAATGTTTGTTGTTATTCTGGTCTTCATTATCGTGGTTCCGATACTTTTTACGAAAAGAAAATTAGATCAGTGGATGGATATTTTTCTATTGCTGATTATGAAGTATTTAGGTTGGTAAGGTTGGAAAATCACTAGAGTTTATTGATAACGGGATTTATACTTGTTAAATAATTAAACCACAATCTGATAAAATATCATATTGTAATTGTTATTAAAAAGGATCAATTCAATAAGATACATTATACATAAATCTGTAACTAAAAAAAATAGATTTCAGAATAGCTTAAAACATATAGAAACTTTTTTATATTATTCAAAAAAATCAATGATCTGCTAATTAAATAAGTTATCGTGATATTTAATTATTGAGATCGTGATATATAGACGTATAAAATTAAAGAAAATATGTTAAAGTTATAATTCATAGAATCTAAAAAAATTATAATAATATATTTCCTTCTTTATGATACCGTATCATACATAAAATTTCGAAATATTAAAGAGGTTATGTGCATTATACTACAAGCCATTTTTCTTAATTTTTCTTTCTCAGATTAGCTCAGGAACACATAGTCTCGTGGCTCTCCTACATGCCAACACTACTAGTCGTCGCTTCTTCGGTTCACAATAAGGTAAGTTTCTTTAACTCTTGAAGTGTGTTTCCGATTTGGCCGCTTTCTCACCTTAACTTCTCTACCGACTAGCCTAGAACCTTTATAATGCCAATTCCCTTAGGCAAACCTCAGTTCTCCCTTGTAGTCGCGTAGCCCAAGTTACAAATCTTACTTTGGCACACTAAACACAAGGTAAGAGTTTATCCGTCAAACGTTACTTTATTGTTTATTCTTTACTAACTATATACTAAACTTCCAATCCACTGACTCGTCTACAAGCGCCTGTTATTTACATGTTTACATCTGCCACTAAACTTTCCCACACCATTTTTCCAACTTTAATTTCCCTACAATCCACGACAACAGGATGACGTAACGTGATAACGCGTTGCATGCCTGTGCCGATTTTATCCATAACACTAGTGCTTCACTTATGACAAGAATCTATAAATTTAACAAAAACAACAGCTAGTTTTAAAGGTCAACACGTTACAATAATTATACCATTTTATTTGTAAAAACCTTGGTAACATTTTTTTAAGGAACTTTGTGTTTTTGACTAATATTTAGATGATTTTTTAAAATATTATATCGATTTGCGAAGTTCGTAAATTCATATGAGTCATATTTATCATCTTCCCAAAACCACAAAATGTCTATTTATACCAGCTCGACGAATAAGTACGTGTGACAAGTGTTACTACTTTGTTACTATATTTTTTTACTAATCCGCCAGGGACATTTTCGCAATGCTGCCGAAGCTTCGAACAAATGCCAGACCGTGGATATTATAGAAATCTTTGGTGGGATAAAGGAGAATTTAACTCAAGGGTAAATTTGGATGAAGTGATGTAAGTCCTTTACTCTTGTTCTGACACTGGATGAACATTTTTAACTAATTAACAATCATTACCGTACATTATCAAGACTCTCGTATAAACTTATTATTGGGTTCACTATAGAATAATATGAACGTCATGAGAAGAATTTAATGTTTAACGCTGTTAGAGTGGACTGATAATGATGTTATTAAGTACGAGTTACCATCAGAGTTTCATGAAATTTATATTGGCGCGAAAATGGATGCTTATAGGTCCGTTAAAAAGACAAACGCACGGTCTATTGTCTTGGATCAACTTGTAAGCAATAATTTATTGATATTTTGGTATTATATTAATCTTGGTTATTATTTAAAGGAACTTGTGCTAGCGATCAAGGAAAAGAAGCCGATAATTCATTTGCCCACAAAAGTCACTCGTAGCTTCACATGTAGTGATGACATGTACGCTTCATCTTTCCATTTATTTTGGACTTTTCTATCCATAGATGGAGGTTTCATGTAATATATTTTATTTTCAGGATTGCCATTGGTCAGCTATTGTCGTCAAAGTTGCATACATTGAGTCAATAGCTCAAGTAAAGAAAAGTTTAAGGGTTATTGCTTAAACTAATCGTGCTTACGATGCATAGTTGTCAAAATCAATCCTGTCCTTCAAGGGTTTGCCTACTCGTATGATAGTATATTATACAGTATTTATATAGTATAGCCATTTTAGCTGTTTAGTCAATATTTTAAATATTTAAATAATTTCAGGCATATCACGCAAAATTAAGGTAACTTCAAACTTTAATAATTCTCTTTCGGTCAATGTATTACAATTTGGGTGTATTGATTGTTAATTGTAATCGCTAGTTTGAATTAGGCTTGCAAGACGGTAATCAAAGGCATTTATACTGTAATTTTTTTTTTATTCTTTTTGTAGATCGCATCAAATAATAGCATATAATCACCTACACATTTATACAAATATAAAGAAACAAAGATTCAACACAATTTTTCTTTACAGTATATTTTATTTATTAACTTAATTATCATTCTTATTCTTTTGTAAATTTTGTTTAATAATTTTTATCTTAAACATCTAACCTAGTAGATCCTGCTATACAAAATTTTTAAATATTTCTACTCCAATTGCTTTGAATTTCTACTAGGTTAAACAAGCGGTTATAAAATTTTTTATTGATAGGGAAGAATAATGAAACATATGTTTCCAATAACCTAAAAACATTAAGAGAAAATTTTCCCTTTATAAAATTAGTGGAATTTTTTGCTCATTGCACAATTTGTGTATACATGTTTCATTGTTAATAAAATGTCACAGCTGTCTATTACCATTTACGTATCCAAAAAATTCTTGTCGAATCGCATGTACAGAATATTCACATTTACTCCGAGTAGATTTACATATATGGCATTTCATGTCTTTAGTTCTCGTTAGTATTATACTAACAAAACAATATTCGGATATACGCATCTTTTCGAGCTATCAATATTTTGCATATGGATTTGGAGATGCATATGCTAATCTTTTTATTAATTTACAAGGGCGAATTAGCGCAATGGCGAAATAAAAAGTTTATTAAAAATATAAAATTTTCCTTAAAGAAAATACTAACTTTAACTTTAAATACGAAATTTATTTGCGTCCTATGTTTTCATACTTCACTTTGCTTAATTTTCCCATCATGACGAATTACGCATCTGCGTCTCATCTATAACTAGCTATTTGTTCATCTCATTCGTTAAAGATAATCTGATATGAATTTTAAGTGTGAATTTTGTGTAAAAAATTCTTGTGACCTTAAAACGCGGATCCGATTTTCCGTACTGGTTACGATCAAAAATCTTACAGTTCCCGGCGAAAAGAATGGCGGTGAGAATTCTACTTTTTTCTTTTTGCTATTTTCTGGGTTTGGTCATTTTTTATATTACCAAATTAGGGAAATCGAAAGTTATTTTAATAAACAGAATATAAACAATGATGTTTAAATATTGTTTATATCCTGTTTGTATAATTCAAAATGGTATTAACACATCTTGAAATACAGTGAAATATTGTCAAGTCACTTTGGCAACAAAATGTTTGCAATTCAAAAGAAATTTCTTAACAATTTGGAATTCCTGTATGCTCTTGTGAATGGTATACCAGTTTATTAAATAAAATTAGTAAGATTCCTATTGGTCATTCAAGAAAATTAACTGCTAAAAAATATCTTTACATCAGAAAAATTTTAAAATACAACTACTTTATTACAGAAAGTAAACTTGAAGCCAAATTAGAAAAAAATGATCCTGAGCTTGAAGTCAATAAACATACTATATGTCATGAGTTTAAAAATCTTGGTTTATTTCTATTATTTCAAAAAAAGATCCTTTTTTAACTCAGTAAGCAAAAAATTATCACTTATTTTGGACATGTAACTATTTACTATATGACTGATTAAAAGTCATTTTTTTTATAAAGTAACAATTTGAATATTTGGTAATATTCTTCATGCATGGTCTTGAAATATAAAATCTATTGCACTTATGGTAAAGCATCTATATAAAGTTCATATTTGGGCAGTGATCAGTATGAAAGAAAAAACTGCAATGCATTTATTTACTATAAACAAATATTTATATAACAATGCAAATAAATTATATGGCTATAGTTGAATCTTTCAATTAGATAATGATCCAAAACATATTTTATATGTTTAAAATGATTTAAAAAATCATTATTAAAAGACTTTATTACTATTAAAAATATAATAAATTAATTGGAAATTATATTTAATTGAAAATTTTATTGTCATATATGATAAAGATTAACAATACAATTACATGTATAGTCCAGATATAAATCCTATTGAAAATGTATAGCCATATTAAAAAAAAGAGAAAGATTAAGGATACAATAGTAAAAAAAAAATAATACAAAAACTTTTTCTTAATATAATTAGACAAGAATATGATAATATTGATGATAATGTATTATCTTGAAATAGGACTACTGAATAATTGATTGTAAAGACAATTAATTGATTGATGGTGCAACTATAATTAAAAAATTAATTGCAATTTTTATCACAATTTGTAAATGCAATACTTTGTATCAAAATTATAGTTTAAAAAAGCTTATATAAAAATACTGTATTTTGAAGAATTTTATATAATAGGATCTAAATCATGATAAATATACTCTAGTTGAATATTAATGACTATGCACCAAGTTGGATATTCAGTGCATTTTGATTACCATTTTACAAGTCAAATTCAAACTAGCAGTTAATAACCAATAATTAATATACTCAATTTAATACAGTACGTCAACAAAAAGAGAACTATTGCAGTTTGGAATTACCTTGATTTTATATAGTAATTTGTTTCTTGTTACTCTATCTGAAATGCTACAGAGTCATTTCTGTAATGATAAATCTTTAGAATGTTACATAAACAGCTAGATTGCTATACTATATAAATATAACTTACTATTATATAAATTGCATAACACTTTGAGTGACAAGATTGATTTTGACAACAATAGCATCATGAGTACAATTAAATTTAAGTCAATATCTCTTCACTTTTCTTTAACTTGGGCAATTGATTTCCATACGCAATTTTGACAACAATATTTGGCCAAGAGCAATCACGAAAATAAAAATGTATTATATGAACCATGGATTGGAAAGTCCAAAATCAATGAAAATAAAGTGAGAACTTCCATCACTATCATATAAATCTACAAATAGTTTTTGGGGTCTAAATAAATTATCAACTTTTTTCCCTTGACCACCAGCACAAGTTTCTTTAAATAATAATTAAGATTAATATGATAGCATTAATGATCAAAATAAATAAATAAATTATATAGAAATGATATATATGACTATATATTGTCATATATCATTTCTATCTCAGGAGAAAGATAAAGACGGAGAACTAGTAGCAGGGAGGCACTTTAGATGGACAGGGCCAATGTGGTATGCTAAA